CGCCTGGACTGCACGGGCAGGGTACGTGGCTCCTCCTCCTCCTCCTCCTCCTCCTCCTCCTCCTTTAACTCCTCCTCCTCCTCCTCCTGCTCCTCCTCCTCCAACTCCTCCTCCTCCTCCTCCTGCTCCTCCTCCTCCAACTCCTCCTCTTCCTCCTCCCCGTGCAGCGGTGATCAAAACGCTTACGGCGAGTGTGCGCGGCGCTGAAGTCGGGGGCGCCAGGGCCTCGCTTGCGCCCGGCAGCCTCGAGCGCACACCCCGTCTCGAAAGAGGACCGTCCTCCCCCTGCAGCGGTGATCAACGCTTACGGGCGAGTGTGCGCGGCGCTGAAAAATCGGGGGCGCCGCAGACATGGACTAGCGCTCCGTGGATCTGGCGCGCGGCCGCCAAATCCATGGATCGGGGGAGGTGCCCTCCCCCAAATGCGGCCGGTGCCGCCTCGCTCGGCGGCGGCAATCCGCGATTTCCCATGGAAACGGGACCCGTCGCCAATCCACGCCCCATTGATCCCTGTTTGCGATCGCCTGACTCAAGCGAACACCCTGTTTGGAAAAGGACCGTCCTCCCCCTGCAGCTGTGATAAACGTTTACGGCGAATGTGCGCAGCGCTTAAGCGAGAACCCCGCTCCTTCCCCCCTTCCATCCGTGGAGCTGCTGGGTATGTCAAGCTTCATGGTCATACACAATGGGCACGTCTCTAGCGAAACGCCCGTCCCGTCCTACTGACATGTGTGGGGCTCGACAGGGCAGAAGGAAAGAAGACGCAGGAAGAGGAGAAGGAGGTGAAGGAGGGGGAGGAGGAGGAGGGGAGGCGGAAGAGGAACAGCAAGAGGATGAGGTGGAATGGTGGGGGGAGGGGGGGGGGAGTAGGAAGAGGAAGGGGATGGCAAAGGTGGGGAGGAAGGCCGAACTCGGGGGAGGCAACCGACAGCTCCTCCTCTTCCTCCCCCCTCCGGAAGCCTTGGCAATCTTTCTCATGAAGTCGCTGGGGTTGGAGCCCTCCTGCCAGACGGCCCCGTCCACCTGGATGATTTTCGGTGAGTCGAGGGGGAGGCGGAGGCGGAGGAGGAGGAGGAGGAGTCGGAGGAGGAGGAGGTGGAGGAGAAGCAGGAATATAAACCCAAGACGCACCAACCATGTTGCAATCCACCCTCCCTGCAAAATCCGTCTTCGCAAATCCCTACACCAATTCACTTCCATTGGGGGAAGCGACCCATCATAACGCAACCGTCTAGGAATCATTAATCGGACCAGCTCGCCTTTCCTGGGATTTTAGCGCCGCGGATCAATGTGACTGATGCGCCTTGGCAATCCTAAATTCCGTGAGCGTCCTGACAACCAATCGTGCAAGAACACCGTTTCTCGGAAGCTGTCGTAAACACGTGTGAAACGAATGTGCGAGGCGCCAAGGCGAGAAATATATTTTGAAAACCCGCCGCCCTCCATCCTTGAGGATGTTGCAAATGCTTAAGACGAATGCGCGCGGGGCCAATGGGAGGGCCACAGTTTGAGAGGCAACCGCCCTCCATCTTTGGAGTTGTTGCAAACTTCAAAACGAATGTGCGCGGCGCCACGGCGAGAACCACATTCGAAAACGACCATCCCTCCATCATTGAAGCTGTAGCACAAATTCAAGCTGCACGATCATACATGGTGGATGAGCGAATCGTGCCCGCTCTACCATCACGTCTGGGGGCGCGACAAGGAGGAGTTATCTATGAGGAAAGGGGGTGCAGGAGGAACCCAGAGGAAGAGGAGGATTGGCCAAGATGAGGAGAACGACGAAGGAACAGCGAGGAGGAGAGGACAAGAAGGACGGAGAGGAGAAATATTATACATACGTACCACTCCGCAGTTGCTGAAAATAGTGAAGGGGCGGGCGCGGGGTGCATCGTGAGGGGGGGCGCGGGTGGGTCGCGGGGAGGACGAAGACAACAACGACAACCAAACAGAATCCGAGCCACGGAATCTTGCTTCACCCACGAACCCAGGGATGGTGTAAGACCGTTCGGCTCCCTCACTCTGGTATAGGTACGTCTTGTCCGCGGTGAAGATGGGACTCAGCTCCTCGGGGCCAATATCTCGAAGCGCGTGGGCGGCGGCCGCTTGCCAACGACGCTGTCAATGGTGGTTTACTAGATGTGCGGTCCGTATGCGTGGTGTTTCCACTCACCCTTCGCGGCGCAACCGAACAAACGCGGTAAGCGGGGTCTTGCGAAGGCGGGCCGGAATCGTCCAGCAACTCATTCAGGTCTTGATGCAGGGGCCTTTCGCGCGGACGTGGCATTTCTTTATCATGTTCGGGAACCTGTGGATGCTGTCGATGCTGTCGCAAGCGTCGGACAAATAGCGCACGAAATAAGCATTCGGCATGTACCGGGCGGGCATGCGGCACTCGGGGAAATGGCGCACCAAGCGTGCCGGGGATAGCGGACACAATGTTGATTTCCATTGTGGCGACGCTAGCAACAACTATGAGCCATAATCGGATCGCGCATCTTCAAGTGTTCCAAAAACTGCACAATAACCTTGGGCGGATTTTAACAGAAAGGCGATGGGGTGACAGAGGAACACCACCAAACAACACATACAAACTCATGAATCTACCATCACAAACTGTGCTAATGGCGATGGATTTCCGGGTGGCAGAAGATGAACGCCGACCGCTGAACTCCGCGAGCGATGTCTTGGGATCCCGCTCTGGCTTCTATGTCGGCACATCGCCTGAACGGCAGACCAAAGATACGTTGGGACGACGACGCTCGGGAGTTAACAGTAGGTGTAGGCCCTCTTTCCCTGGACTTGGCCTTCGCGCGGATTCTGTTGATGGTGGCCCCAGGAAAGGAAACGAACCGTTGTGCTGGTCCACGTTTTCTGGGGCTCGGCCCTCGCGCTGGTCCTGTTTGTGGCAGTCGCAAAAGAACAACTGAAAGGTAAGCGTCGGACCACGCTTCTTGGGGCTTGGCAGTGGCCCTGGCAATGTCGATGGCGGCCCCAGCTGAGGAGCGAACGATTGGTGCAGGTCCCGGTTTTTTGTGATCGACTTTCGCGTTGATGCTATGTTGGGACGGTGGTGGGGCCCTTTCCGAGCGCGCGCGACGCAGCTCCCCGCTGCTTTTCCAGCGCGGAGTCCGACCAGATCCCGTCGTGCACGTTGGGGCCCACGATGCGGTCGAGGTAGGTGGCGAACAAGTTGAGCCCGCTCGGGCACGATGGCCAACGGGAGGTCGCATATGAGCTGGACCATATAGATTGAGAACTCGACGCGCAACGGGTGAGGTTGCATTTCCCGGCTTCAATCAAAGGCCATCGCAAGACTTCACTCTGGCGAATGTGTCGGCGCACTCGCCGAGGGTGCTCAAACTTCTCACGACTGCCAACGCGTCGTCGGTGCATGTTCGCGCTGCGCCCATGCCGTGGAAATCCACCGTGTGCTTCATGCACTTGGAGACAGGGCGCGCCCTTGAAGTGAGCCTCCCTCGAACGCGCGCGCGAAGATGTCACTGATTAGCGCCGTGCCAGTGCGATGGGTCGCTATGAGGCGCGCCAGGATGCCGCGGGGCGCGCCGAAGGCACGAACTGAGGCCCATATTTGAACATGCTGGAGGCGCGGGGGCGCCGCCGTCATTCCCGGGCCAGGGCGAGGCGGCGTTGGGCGCGCTGCGCGCGGCCGTAGATCCTCGCGGCGCGCATTCCAGGTCGACGATGCGTTGCGTGATCCGGCGCTGCGCGGCAAAGCCCCTCTGGATTGCGGAGGCGCCCGCGGTGGCGGCATTCCGCGGCATACGGCTGAGGGCGCGGCGACAAGCTTTGTTGCCCGTTATCATGAAGCGGATCTCCGACGCTTTGAATTTGCGTGCCATGGGAAAATCCGCGCTCGCGTGAAGCGTTGCCTGCAATGCTGTCTTGGCGCCCCTTTCGCCCGCGACGATGAGGGGGAATTGGAGGGCGAGGAAACCAGGACAACTACCCGCAGAGGATGCGCAGGTGGATGCGAATAGGGATGCGGACGAGGCTGACGCGGCAGGTCGATGGATGCGACGATACTGATGCTGGTCATGCTGGCGATGATGCTGGCCATGATTGTGATGTGGAGGAGGAGGAGCCAAATGGGCGACGACGCGGGGGCGCATGCCGACGCGGGTGAAAAGGATGGGTCGGAGGAACGGGGAGGGGGAGATATCCACGACGGACACCATCATCATCACCTTCATCATCATCATCATCATCATCATCATCATCATGATCATCATCATCATCATCATCATCATCATCATCATCATCATTATCAACATCATCCCATCATTATCAACATCATCATGATCATCAACATCATCATCATCACCATCATCAGCATCATGATCATCATCAACAGCATCATCATCAACATTTTCATCGTCATCGGGACACCATCACCATCACCATCACCATCACCATCACCATCACCATCATCATCATCATCATCATCATCATCACCATCATCATCGGGGCACCATCTTCATCACCACCATCACCATCACCATCGCCATCAGCATCATCATCATCATCATCATCATCATCATCATCATCATCATCATTATCATCATCATCATCGACATCATCATCATCATCATCATCACCACCACCACCACCACCACCACCATCATCATCATCATCATCATCATCATGATGATGATCATCATCATCATCATCACCATCATCATCATCATCATCATCATCATCATCATCATCATCATCATCATCATCATCATCGGGACACCGATGGGACACCAGCGGGACACCGGCGGGACACCGCGGGCCACCGGACGCCGGAAGGGAGTCATTTGGTCCGGCCGCGCCTCAGCCACAGGAGACTTTTTTCTCGCCCGCCCACGCAGCTTCGCCTCGCCCGCACGCACGGCACGCACGAACACGAAAACGAAATCGATTTCCCGGTAGGGGGGCTCTCCGTTCCACTTCGATCTCACTCCCTCACCTCCGATCTAGAGAGAGGGAGGGAAAACTTACGCGAGGGGAAAGATAGTGATAGAGTGAGAGAGGGAGAGAGAGAGAGAGAGAGAGAGAGAGAGAGAGAGAGAGAGACCGAGAGACCAAACCAAACTGATCACGAGAGAGAAGGCTGATGTGGAACAGGATGCCGAGGGAGATATGGAGGAGGAGGATAAGGAGAAGGAGGAGGAGGAGGAGATGGATGATGATGATATGGAGGATGAGGAGTAGGATGATGAGGCATATGGGAACGAGAACGAGGATCATATAGGGGAGTGGTACGAGGATAACTGCATATTACCAGGAGGAGGATGCGGAGGAGGAGGAAAAGGTTGAGGAGGAGGATGAGGAGGAACACGAAGAACACCTGGATGATCTGGTCATCAGGCTCCACCGCCATGCTCGGATGCTTCGCATTCCAATCGGCCACCAGGCCTTTCTCCTCGACGCTCTTGACGACGACGCGGCTTTTGTTGTGGACGGCGAGCTGCCAGCCCACGGCCTTGAAGGCGGGCATGTTCGATGTCGGCTTGGGGAATCGAAGACGGACCTCGGGAATGCAATATCGCCAGGAGGAGTGTTGAGGGGTGGGGGGGGAGGAGGAGGAGGAGGAGGAGGAAGTAGAGGAGGAGGAGGAAGAGGACGAGGCGGAGGAGGAGGAGAAGGAGGGGGCGGAGGAGGAAGAGGATGAGGAAACGGAGGAGGAAGAGGAGCCAGAGGAAAAAGACAGGGAATGGGGTAGGAGTGCGAGAAGGGGGCAACAACTGTATGTACATATCTCCCCTCGATGTCTTGCTCCTCCCCCTTTTTCTCTTCCCATAGGCCCTTCTCATTTCCCTTCCTTCTCCCGCTGCCCCTCCTCCTCTACGTCTTCCTCATCACTCTCTGGCTCTACCCGGCCCCTTCCTCCTCCTCCTCCTCCTCCAACTCCTCCCCTCCTCCTCATCCTCCTCTTTCCGTCCTTCCTTCACTATGGGGGAGGAGGGCCACAAGAACATGGGGAGGATGGGTGCACCTCGGGAACAGAAGCACCAGAGGTTGACGGGTGAGGGGATGAAAAGGATGATGAGAGGGAGGAGGAAGAGACAGAGGGCGGCATGGGAGGAATTTAGGTTCCCCGAGCTGAGCCTGCATACGGGGCTCTTACTTTGTTTGCAGGGGATCCCGCCAGCCCTCTAGACGTATGTGGTGTAAGGCATTCGTTTTTCCAACCTCCTCCTTACTCCTTACCATTCGGGGAGATGCGTCCCCCTACCCCCTCTCCCAGTGACTGGTATGTTGGGGGGGGGGGGGGCAGGGGGTCGCGAGGCGTTACAGCGTCCAATGTGGCTGACGGTGGTCCCAACAGGGCCCCAGATAGCCCGAGCTGGCCTCCAAGATCGCACACTTTTAGACGAGCGCGTTCCACTACTCGCGAAGTAGCTACTCGCAGATGGCCTGGATCCGCCACAGGGGGTCTACGATACATTGCATCAAAGCAAACATGTGCTTTATGTGACGTTTACGAATGGGCACTTTGCGAGTAACGGAACGCGCTCGGCGAAATTTATCCCCGAGATGCCAAGACCCTTCCAACCCCGAGGAGGAGGAGGAGGAGGAGGAGGAGGAGGAGGACGAGGAGGAGGATGAGAAGAATGAGGAGGAGGAGGAGGAGGAGGAGGGGGAGGAGAGGGGGAGGAGGGAGGAGGAGGAGGGGGAGGAGAAGGAGGAGGAGGAGGAGGAGGAGGAGGAGGAGGAGGTTCCCGTTTCTCGCCATTTATCATTCTCGCCATTTCGCTGCCGACGGGTTTCGGAAGTCTCACGATGGCTCCAGGATAGCCCAGGAGAGCGGCCCGAGGGGGCCCCAAGAGAGCTCAAGAAGGCCAGATATCCTCCTTCCCCCGTCCATCCCTTCCCTTCCCTTCCCTTCCCTTTCCTCCCCCCTCCTCCTCCTCCTCTTCCTCCTCCTCCTCGTCCTTCTCCTCCTTCTCCTCCTTCTCCTTCTCCTCCTCCTCCCTCCCTCTCATCCTCTTCGTACTTGGCGGGGGGTGAGAGGGGACGAGCAGAGCAGGAACACGTCCTGGGAGGAGCACCTCCTGGGAGGACAAGACGAGCAGAAGAAGATGTGGGAAACGGGGAAGTGGAGTAGCTGGAGAAGGGAAAGGAGGGGGATAGGAGGAGAAGGAGGAATAGGGAGAGAAGGGGTACGGAAACGGAGGGTGAGCGCACGTCGCTGCCACATTGACGCAGAAGGCTACGAGAGGCAACGTGACGCTCTCGAGTCTGTCGGCGCTGAACATGCGCACTGGGCGATTCCCTGCAAAGCTGAATGCACGAGCCGATGCAGAAAAGGGAAAAACGTGCGGACGACGGACTAGCCGCACATGCAAATAAACACACGGAGTTGTATATTTCGGGGCCCACTGAGTGGGGGGGGGGGAAGTTCGATCCGCTGGTGCATCGAATTTCCGAAAAACGATGCGCGCCCCGATTGTCGACGCCTCTCGGGTTCCAGCTGCGGCCGGAGACATCGTTTTGCCTAGTTTTTCTGCGGTTCGATGCGCCAACGGACCGAACTCACCCCCCCTGTGGCCCCCCCCCTTTGCGAGGTCCCGAACATTGTGTGCTGAAGACAACTCTGGCATCAACATCTCAGCAACATGGCGCGCTCCGAAGCGCTGCGCTAGTGCTGGGTCGAGCCCAGGCCTGAGCCGTGCGCGCGAGGGCTCAGCAGACTCGTCCTGGAGGCGCTCTCCGGGACAGCCGCCCTGAGAGGTGCGGGTGGCCCCGAGCTGCGAGGGGAGGCCCACCAGCGAGCACAGTCCAACCCGGTGGTTCTAGGCAAGCGCGTTTCACTACTCGCAGAGTCACTGCTTGCAAATGGCCTGGATCCGCCGCGGAGGATCTGCGGCACACTCCATCGAGGCGAACGTGGGCTTTTGTCGCACGCTTGCGACTAGGCACTTTGCGAGCAGTGCATCGCACTCGGTGACTCCGGGACAGCCGCCCCGAGAGGCGCGGGTGGCCCCCGAGCTGCGAGGGGACGCCCGCCGGCGAGCACGGGCCACCCCGGTGGCCAGAGGAGCACGGCACGGCACACGAGCAGAAACCTTCGGACCTCCGCGCGGACTTCTCGGATCGGCGCCGGGCTCCGCGCCCTGCCGCGCGGGGGGGTCAAGCGTTGAGTCGGGCCCGTCCCCCTACGGGGGGATTTTGGAGGAAAAATAGAAAATAGTCAAAAAAATACTCCAAAATTTGGAAGGAATGCTAACAAAAATCGTCCCCAGACTATTTGTGGACTATTTTTGAACATTCCTCCAGTAGAGGGACAGGCCCGACTTAAGTCAAGCGCAATCCAAGAAATCTGGGGGGGGGGCTGGGACCACTGGTGCTCATGCCGTCTTTTCTCCCTCGAGTGGCCGTGGGCGCGCGGACCTCGGTCGGCGAGGTGGGCACGCTCACGCGCCTCGGCAGCCGTGCCCCGGACACGTTGCGGATGCCTGGCGGGTGCCGGGCCGCGACGGCGCGTCGGCGGCGCGCCTCGGCGTGGGCTGCGCACCGTGTCGGGCGAGGCCCCCGCGCGTCTTGCAGCAGCAGGTGCAAGCCGACCTCGAGAGCTCCACCGCGCAGGGGAGCGCCGAGGGTTGCTCGAGGCGAGGCCTTGGGCGTTGACGCCAGTGCCGAGTCGCCATCCACTTCCTCACCGGTCGATTCAAGAGAAAGAGGCCCACGGGGCCACCTCTTGCATGGCCGTGCAAGGTTCAACACTGCAGTGTGGCCAGCGACTGGGTGAGCTTGACGACCAGCGTCAGAATCAGCTGACAAAAAATGCGCGTGCACTTCCACTATCCGAACGGCAACCTTCAACACCTCGGAACGCATGATTTGCCGCTGTTCGGAAATAATTTCGCACGTCGTGGAGCTCGTGGCTCCCATTTCTGGTGGTCCATCGGCACGTGGGGGTACGAATTCAACAACGCATAGACGAATGAAAGCACGTGCGTGAACAGAGTCAGGCTAGCAGGTACATCTCGCCAAGGGCAAGAAGTTATAGAATGACGCCCGCCAGCCGCAGCGAGGCGCCGAACGACTCCACGGCGTCGTAGAATACCAATGGCACGACAGCAAGGACGTTGTTGTCTGCGTCGGCAGCAGCGGCTGGGTATGCAACGTGTATCATTCATGCTTTGCACGGTCTGCAGCCGAAATTTGACCTGCAGCGATCGATGCAAGACCGACGGTGAACTCCCTGGGACCGCCTCGACAAACAACCTGGTGCCTGCGTGCTTGGAACCGCTGTGACACGAATTCGCTGCGTGCGCCGTGATCTGGCAGAATACGCCGGCGAGTCGCCATGGCCAAGACATCAGTCAGACAGCCGACAACGAGACGGACGCGGCGGGGATGATCGTGCAAGCCAAGCGTCACGACCGCGGCGGCGAGGTGTGAACGCGGCGACCCAGAAGCCGCCATCATGGTTATTCGCTTCGGGTCTGCCACATCTGTTGAATACTAGCTCATGTAGACAAGCTTGGCTTACATCGAACTTAGCTATGGTGGGGGCACGATTGGAATGGCGAGGAATAAGGGATGAGGATGGTGAAGTATGCCGACGGAAGACTGAGGGGATGCTGAGAGAGGATGACGAGGAGGAGGATGATGAGGAAGGGGAGGAGGAGTACGAGGAGGAGCAGGAACGCGGGCAGGGGCAGGGGTTAGGAGGAGGAGGGGGATGAGGAGGGGGGAGGAGGAGGGGGGAGGAAGTAAGATGGGAAGGGGTAGGAGGATGGGGAAGGAGGGGAGACGTGGGAGGGGCGGAATGAAGGGGGAAGACAGAGGAAGAAGATGATGGGGAAGAGGAGGGGGGAGGAGGAGGAGGAGGAGGAGGAGGAGGAGGAGGAGGAGGAGGAGGAGGAGGAGGAGGAGGAGGAGGAGGAGGAGGAGGCGGCGGAAAGGGGAGGTGGACGGATGAGGATGAGGAAAGGGGTGGGGGTTGGAGAGGCTGGGGGAGGAATGTGTGCTTGCCCTCCTCTGCCCTGGGTGGCCTGCTTCGGCGCGGCGGGGTCCTGGCGGGGCGGCGGCGCCTGCTCCGGGGGCGCCTCCTGCGGGGTGCGTGCGGCACCCGCAACTGCGCTTTTGAAGGGGCTCATGGGCACACTGTCATCACTCTCGGATGTCATCGAGTGGGAGGCGCTGGAGAGAGGGGGCGTCGCACTTTTGCATGTAGCACGACGAGGGCATGCGAATGTCGCGCGCGCTTGAGCCCAAAAGGGCTCCCAACGCAACCGCGAAGGGAGCGGAGGAAAACGGAGGGGGAGGAGGTGCGGAGCGGACCCCCGAAACACCCCTACTCATGGGGGTGTGGGGCAGCTGGCCACTCTCTCGCGCAGGTCCCAGTTCCTAATGCCCATTCCTGTCCTGGTGCCTCCTTTTTCTCGGCTTTGATCTCCAGCCTCGGCTGGATGTGCCCCGTGTCCGCGGTCTAGGCGCGGGGGCGGGCCTGCGCGCGGGAAGGGTCCCCTCCCAAGCGAGACAGGGAACAGTGCAAGCGAGCGGTCCCACCGCCAGTCAAATTCAAGGGCCGTGGTCCGACACTCTGAGCTCGAGTCAAGTGCCCTCTCATCGAGGCGCCCATGCTCGTCGATTAGAACCAGTCCCCTTTGCGAAAACGTCCTTGCGAGCGTGATTGCCACATGTTGGGTCTTGCTTAGTAGGGGGGTCTGGGGCATCCGAGCATGAAGGGCCCGCCTGACACGCGATCCGATTGATGAGAGAGAACCTCTGGCGACAATGAGTCCGATAGCGTTCCTGCGGTCGGCTCTTGAGCCGGCCGGATTCCGAGACAACGCGTCGAACGCTGACGTAGCATCCACAACGGAGACGCTCGAGGCGGTGTCTCCCAACTGACAGCCACTGGAGAGCGTGACTGTGAAAAGGCCCCTGACGACCAGACCATCTCGATCGAGGCACGTCGCCGAACGCAGCATCTCGCCGCAAAACTTGGCGCCGCTGACCCTCCCTGGTGGCGCCTGGCAAGGCAAGAATTTCGGCGGCAACAGCACTGGAAACAGCTCGCCTAATCCTCAAAGAACGCCGGGCGACGACACTCACCTTCGCCCTGCGGTTTTGTGAACGGCCGAATCGGAGACCATGGTCAACCGCGCCCCTTGAGCTCCGCCCCTGCGAGCGCCGCCAGGCCCGCCCGCGTCGCTAGCGGCGACGAAAATCACGGCGGCGGGGTCGAGGGCCCAGATGGTAAGACGCTGTCCCGGGAAAACAGAGCAACAACGCCCGCCGCCGACGGACTGGGAAGAGCTGCTGCTGAAGAGGAGCCGAGTCTGCCAGATCTGGGCGAGAATCTCTCGCCAACCGCTGCACCTGAGCGGCAACGGTCCGATGTGAGCTGATCTCGTCACGAGTCAGGGGGGCCCCAGGTCAGGGCTGCGTCCTTCTCCCAGAAGCATGGTCGACAACTGCTCCCGCTCCCTGATATTTTTCTTCTGGCCCAACAGGATATTATCAGGCAGCGGGGTGAGGTAACGGCCCGCGTGATCGGCCTTTCATTCTTCCCACTTCCCAAGTATGAAACGCTCCCAGATAGCCGCGCGACGGGCCACCATGGGCGTCCATTCCCCAGCCGCGATGAGGTCGTCGACCTCAGCGAGCAAAAAGTCGTGCAGCCCGCCGAGCTTCGATCTCTTCGCGGAGCGGGCCTCCTTGGGGCCGTCTCACAACGCCCGATCCTATGATCGAGTTCCACTCCGCCTGGTCGGCATTTCCGAACTGACCTCGTCCCTCGGGGGACAGATTCTTCCGAACGACCTCGGCGCCCTGGGCTTGATTCGGCTTGGCTTGAGCCGCGGTCCCCGAGAAAACCTCGCCTTCCCCAGGTCCCGGAAGACCGCCTGGCTCCCCCCCCCCGTCCCGTTGTCATTGAAGATCGAGAGAAGCTCGGATGCTCCTGGAGGCTCGCTCCACTGGCGCAGCTCGAGCATCGGCTGCTCGTCTTGAAAATCATCGTGCGCGGCTGCGCCCCCGAGTGCCTCGATCCCCCCCCCCTGCTCGTCCTGGATCTCCCCCGGCCCCCCCTGGTCGCTGCCTCCCCCGTTGCCCCCTCGTGCTGTGACCCCCAGGAGGCCAGCAACGGGTTGGGACCTGGGCGCTCTTGGCATAGACGCGGCCCTCATGGTCTGGGCCCGGCATTCACCTGCTCAGGGCGGCGCTCGGCGGGCTCGGCAGCGGATTCCGCCGGCCCAAGCGCCTCGATCTCTCGCGCCGCCCCCCTGGCCCGAGCCTGATCTCCCACCGCGTCCTCAATCGGGGTCAACCTGGGATGCGCGGCCCGTTCGTCGCCCGACCCCGCCGCCCGAGACTGCCCTCGCACTCCCGAGGCAGAGCCCGTCTTCGATGCCTCCGACCCGCTCGTGGCCCGCCATGGGGGGCGGCTCCGAGAGGACTCAGGTCTCGCCCTGGCTGGCCAGCTCGACCGCCTCAGTCGGGGCGGGCGCGACGATCGGAACAGCGGAGGATTGGGCAGAGAGCAAAACTCGCGCCGCGGGAACCCGGAGGCTCTGGCTCGCCCGCCTCGGGCTCGCCCCGCGCTTCGGAGGGGCCCTCTGCGGCCGCGTCCGCGGCTCTGGCCGTTCTCTTCGGACGGCGAACCTGCCCGCGCGGGGCGTCGAGTCGAGCCGAGTCCAGCATAATTCGGCGCCGAGGGGCTCCGGGCGGGCCGCGCGTCGGATCTGCTCCTCCGGGCACTTTTAAAAGCCTGGCGCGCACGGGCGCCCGTGTCGCGCCCCCAGTCTGGCAGGTCGCCACCCCGGGCGCCGTCCACTGGTCTCGCTGCAGGGAGTGGGCCCGAGTGGCGGCCGTGGCCCTGCGCCGCGCGCGTCGCCCGCTCGCCCCGCTTGCGGCGCCCGTCGGCGCGAAGCCTGGCCTGGCTGGCTTCTGACAGACGCGAGCGAGCATCGACGCTGGCCGCGGCCCTTCTGGCCGCGCGTCGGATCTGGTTACGTCTGCGTAGCAAGCTCGGCAGCGACCGTGCCACATTGCGCGGTTCCACCCGAGACGTCCTCGGCCCCGATCAGATCCAAGGCGTCGCCCGGCAACGAGGGGCCCAGGGCGACCCAAGACGAGACGGGCGGGGCGGACCCCCCGCGGTGATATGTGCTGTTTTCCTGGCAGGGCCGGGCGATATTCCGCGCCCTCCGCTGACTGACCGACTAAACTTTATTGTGTTGAATTGCCTTGAACTGCGCAAGACTGATTGAAGAAGAGGGGCACTTTTGACGGCGCATGTGCAACTGCACGGGAGCGCCCGCAAGCGCGACCGAACGACGCATTTGAACTCGCCCGCGGGCGCAGCCGCAACCGCGACAGGGCGATCGTCCGCGCAAGCTCTCGCATGCCCCGGGACTGGGGGGCGCCTCGTTCAATGGATGTCCAGGTCCAATTGAAAGGGCCCGCCGCGACAACATAAAAAGGGGGGCTGCTGAAAGGACATCCTCGCAGGGCCCAATGAGCTCACGCAAGGCGCGAACGCCGCCGACCCGCCGTCGTGGAAACGCAAGGTGCAGAAATAGAGAACCTCCAACGCACGCAAGCAGAGGGCCAAGAATACGCGGGTATCCCAGGCAAGTGAACAGCCGAGCCTGGAATGCCGATGGGACAGCCTGCGCAATGTCCAGCGTCATCGGCGACGGGGGCTAATCAGGGCATTCCTTGGCAGCGATGCTAGCCTGCTGGCCAACGAGGTCGGGCTCGACCACGTCGCTGAGGAAGCTGTGGCGGCCCTCGACGCACCCGTTCTGGATCCGAGCTCCAATGTTTCGGATCTCGCGCGACGCGCGCCCCGCGCGCCCCCGGTGTTGCGGAGCGCCCCTCCCGCGCTGGGCTCGCCCACGGGGCCATTTCGAAGCTCGGGGGGGAGACCGCCAACAGCGCGGTAAACGCTGAGTCCATGATGTCCCAAGCTGCGATCCAACGCAGGACCGACAAGAGACCTCGAGACAAGCTCCACCACCTCGCGCGTAGTAGTGTAGCCCGTCGGGGCCAGGCGCGGCTCAAGAATCCCGTTGCAGGGACCTCCGAGTGTCCACCGGCACCAGTGGGCGAATGTCCATGACATCGAGCGGCGACGAGAAGCGTTTGGCCCGCGGCCCGGCCCCCCTGGGGGCTGCGTGGGCCCTCTCGAAGACAGTGGCCCAGTGGCCGGCAGAAGCTACGCGCGAGCTCCTCCTCCTCCTCCTCCGACAGCAAGTCTCCATTCAGCACCTCTTCTATCATCGTGCCCGCCTCCCTGTCCGTCCGCCTCTTCACCTCCAACTCCTTGCCCCCCCCCGCCCCGACGGTTCCTCCTCTTCTGCCGGGCTGGCTAGGACTTTACGACGAGACATTGGGTTCCGTGTCTGGGCCACTCGGGCACGCGCCCGCTTCTACCCCAGCAGTCGGCCACGACGCCCAGGAACTTCCTCTCTTTCCGCCGCTGCCTCCAGCTCGCGACGACGGGCAGCTGCCTCCTGCCATTGGAAATGGGCGTGGGAATCCCGAGACGACGCGGGGCCCCGAAGGTGAGCGCGCCCCTGGGAAAGGCCCAGAATTTCAAACACCCGTAGATGGTGCGCCTTGTGGGCCTCTCTTTCGTTGTTGTCCGACCTTTTTCCTTTCAAGACTCCGAGATGTGCCACAACACGATCAATAGAGTCGGCTTCGTTCAGTCGGTCTCCCACGTTGACGAACCGCTGCTGCACTTCGACGGGCAGAGCTCTCTGGTACTTGTCCTGCTTTCTTTTCAGGCAGGTGCCCGGTTCGACTGGGCCACGAAGCCAAATTCAACTTATAGAGCTCAAGTTCTCGAGCCCCAGCCATAAGGGAAGCGCACCGTAATCTCTGCTCTGGGAGGCTCGCCCCGTCACCAGAACGCTCCAATCATGTTTCCAGCAGCCGTTGCTGTCCCAGTGATCGTCAACCCCTTCTTGCCATTGACCAGATGTTCTTCGCCACCACCCCTGCCTCTCCTTGGCAACGTCTCTCCACCCCGCCGACTAAGTGCTGGCCCCCGGACTTCCACTGGCCTGTCTTGTCGTCGCTCCGGGACTCGAAGCCTCGGTGCCTCGACCATGCTTCTGGCCCGTCGCCGCTCCTGGACTCGGGGCCTCGTTGCCTCGACCACGGATCCGTGTTGTCATCGCTCCTGGTCTGTCGCCGGCCGAAAGGGGGGACCCGAGGCCACGGCTGCGACGGCTGCTCTCCAGTCGTCTGTTGGGGGGCTGAGGCGGCATGACCTCTGGTTCGTCGGTCTGCTCGTCACGTCTGCTCTGCTCTCAATCGCGTATGCATTCCAAGGTCCCTTCCGCTCGCAGCCTCGCCCCGCTTGCCACTGTCATCGCTCTCGGATGTCATGGACTGGGAAAGGCTGGAGAAAGAGAGTGTTAGACACGTGCATCGCACTAGGAGAGCATGTGAATGCCGCGCGCGCTCGAACCCAAAGGGCTGGCAGTACAAACGCGAAGGGAGCGGAGTAAGACGGGGGGGAGAAAGTACGACCTCGGGGTTCCCAAGACACCTCTATCCATAGGGCAATACAAATACATAGGCAAATCTCAAGATTCCACACATTGTCCATCTTTTCTGGATTTTCGTCTTAGCCTCCACTGCCCACATCGTCGCACCTTTTCATGGGAATCGTAGTTTGTTTGTGTGTGTGTGCGTGTGTGTGTGTGTGCGCGTGTTTTTCCCCCTCCTGGTTCCCCGCCCCCTCCCCCACGACAGCAGCTCCAGAGCCAGCGCGGCACTGTGCCGAGCGGCGCGGGAGCTGCCGCCCACCCGTCGGAGGCGAGGCGGGCGCAGGGGCGCGCTCGGGGGGGCTGCAGGCAGAAGCGCTGCGTGGCAACGCCTGGATGGCCAGGCGGGCGAAACAAGAAAGCCAGCGGCGGCGGCGAGGGATAACATGACCACAACATCCTCGGCATCCGACGCCAGGGAGGGGGCAACAACGATGTCGGTGGGGTGGGGGCAAAACGACCAGAGCTCTCGGCGCTGCGTTCAGGCATTCTTTTTCGAGCGAGCGAGCTCTCCGTGGACCTCCCCGAGCCCGCAACGGGGGCAACAGAAGGTCGAGGTTTCTGCCCACGACGCCCAGATGCAAGGAGAGGGATGATGGGATGGTGGGAGGGGTGGGTGGGTGGGTGGCCCCGCATGTGTGTGTACACTCATGCACGGGAGGACCTATGGGCGCAAAGTATCTGTGCACAAGACCCTTGGGCCCCTGGCTGCAGGGGCAACTCCGAGGAGCTGGCAGACCAAATCTGCCAAGGACGGGCCGAAGAGGCGATCACGCTACACGATCGCCTGTTGGATCCGTTCTGACCCCTCGGCCTTCGGCTGCCTTCGCTGGCCTTCGGCTGCACACAAAAACATACACGTAGACTCTCGACGGTCCGCGCGGATTTCCTCGATCTGCGCTGGACCCCCCTCCCTGGCGCGCGGAGCGCGCCAGGGGCGGCGCCCCCCCTGCGCCCATCCGAGACCTCGGCGTGGAGCTGCGAGAAGTTGTGCTTATGCTGTCTTTGTTCTGCGAGTCTTTGGCGGTTCTCGGCACGAGAGTTGGCTCAGAGGGTTGCGGAAGGCGCTCCTGGCCCACGGTGCCCGCAGATCTTCGCTCCATTTTGGAGCCCCCGGATGCCTCCTTGGAGATTCCGGGGGCACCTCTGGCACCCTCCACCGCTCGGACGCCCCTTCCCCCGTGCGTTTGATTTTCGGTCTCGCGCGTTGAATTTTCGCACGATGATCCAGGAAGCTCCTCGATGGCCCTCGCCGAGAACAGGTGCACACGTCCGAGCTATGCCAAGGGCCTCTGGCAACACCCCGCAGAGGGGGGCCGTGGCCCGCCGGGTCCTGGGCGGGCGGCGCCTCCGCCTCCGCCTCCATGGGCCTCCGGATGGTGAGCCCCAGCGTCCTGTGCAGGGGGCGGGGGGATGCGCACGACATGCAGCATCTATGTCCGAACATGTGTGATAAACAACAAGTGTGATAAAACAGCTGTGATGCAAAACAAGTGTGAGAAAACACAAATCTGATACATGTGATTAAAGAAGTGTGATCTATGTGTTAAGTTTTTTCATGACACTTGTTTTGGTTATCGCACTTGTTCGTTTTTTATCACACGTGCTCATGTATATCCCTTACCCGAACGCGGGTATGATTAGGTCGGGCATGTTCCCCTACAGGCGGATTTGGGACGGAAAATAAAACATACTCCAAACATGCCCCCCAAATATTAGAAAAATGTCAAAACATCGTCCCCATACTTTTTTTGAATATTTTTGAACATTCCCCCTGTAGAGGGACAGGCCCGACTGAAGGGTAGGATCATAGAGGTTGCGGTACATCTGGCACGCCAAGCTTCTGTGTTTCGACGTGTGCACGTGCCACGGCGAGGCCAGCGCCAGAATATATGGACCATCTTGGAGCATCCAATGGTTCGTCGCCCAGTCAAATTGCAAGCAGAACGTGTATTGAGGACGGGTGGTCTGGACGCAAGGCCCTTGGAGGCCGAAGTTGTTTTTTTTGGTCGGCGGGCGGCCAGCGAAAACGGCAAAGGACGGGCCGCAGAGGCAAGGACACAAGGGCACCCTAGATGAAGGCGCGCGTCCTTACTAGGCGCGTTGACTGTAGAATACGTTGAAATAAGGAACGCCAGGAAATGAACGAAGCTCCTTTCTGGCACCAGAAGGGCCTGGGTGAACGAGGAGGGCTAAAGGAACAGCAATGGAAGGACCTAAGGAACAACGAGCCCTTTCCGAACCCACAACGGTCCTTATTTTGGTGACTTGGCTGCATGGTCGGGGTATTGCATGGGGAACACTTATCGGCGGCGTGCCCTGGGGGGAAAGTGAGGGGGCGTATGCTTTCTTAGAATGCGGCCGTCTCTGTCTTCGGAGAAGGCTCAGACAACATCTCAAAAGTCCCGAGGCCTTCTGAACCTTCCGAGAAGGTCCGCCACCTCTGCATTCCCCCCCTGGGCTCGCCGCCGACCTTAGATAAGGAATCCAGGGTCTGGACGCTGGTCGAACACTAATTGAGGCTTGGTCATGGGTACCACTGCCGCCCTCGTCGGATAAGGAATCCTCCAGGGTCTGAAGCCTCCTGGGCACATTCCTTGACACACGCCGCCACCGTATGGGATGTTAACGACGACGAGGATGAGGAGGCTTGGACACGACACGACAAACACCAGAAGCAATGACGTACCAAACGCGTGGATTTGCGCTCCACACGCGTGTGTTGCTCTGTGAACGTCTACTATGGTGAATACGCGAACAACTCTTACGCCTTCCTACGGAAACATACGTTCACATGGAACATATACCTCCACGGGTCCTGTTGAGCGACAGGGACACGCTGCGGATCGCCTCGATCTGATCCAGGGCCTCGGAGACAGTGGAGTTCTGACCCTGCAGACCGTTGACCTTCAAGGGAGAGCAAGGGTGCCTTCCTACCTCCCGTGCTCACCCAGCGCCGCGCCCCACCTAAGACGAAGCCAGAACGAGGACACATTCGGGTGAGGATAGAGTGAGAATCTCTGAGGTCCAACGGCTCTGGAGGATGTATCCTGAGCATTTTCTTAGGGTGGAGGGCTCAGGGTGAAATCCATATGGGCTTTTGCACCTCGAATCAATCCGTCTTGTGATTCACCTTCTGCTGATTCAAGCCTCGAAAATTAATCGAAACGGCATTTCAGATTTCACCCTTTGCCCTCCACCCAAAGAACATGCTCGGGTATCGGGCGCCGCGGCCTCCTCAGAGCGCTCCGGAGCGCTCTGAGAGCGTTCTGGAACGCTCTGGAACGGATTGATCCTTGTCCCAGCCCTGTCCTACCATCCCCGCTCCTGCCCTGTCCCAGCCGCTAACCTTGATGACCTCGTCTCCCTCCCGGATCATCGCGTCTGGGTTTGCCTTGTTCCACTCGGCCACGGCGCCCTCCTGCCCGATCTTGCTGACCAGCACCTGCTGCGACGTCGCCGTGGAATTCAGCTCCCAACCCAGGATTGCAGCCGAGGTGCCTCTGACGCTCGCAGCTGGGAGCGGGAGCTCGACAACAAACTCTGTCGCCTGCTGCTTCCTTGGCCTCAGGACGTGCATGGAGAGGAGCTCCTCCGACGAAGGGTCCAAGGCGCGTCCGTCCCGGATCAGCCGCCAGAGTCTCTTGACGAAATTTCTTGAGTTAGAGTGCCACACGTAGTCGTTGGCCTGCGAGATCTGGTCGCCGACGAGGATCTGTTTGTCAGGGTGCTTCGCGTTCCATTCGGCCTGGAGTCCATCGGTCTCGATCTGGGACACTTTGACTGGCGTGTCGTTGTCCTCGATGTCGAGCACGATCCCCACTCCCTTATTACGGTACGACGAGTCCGTCATGTTCAGGACGACGGTGAACTCAGCCTCGTACTTCGCAGCATGGGCCGCCTTTTGCTGCGCTGGGCCTGAGGCTTCTGCCGCGCCCACGCCGTTCGTAGTGATGAGGGCGCGCGAGCAGACTGCCAGTTCCCCCAGCAGTAGCGCTGCAAAACCCACGCGTGATATCATGTTGGCCGAGCGGAGCCCTGTATGCCCAACAGGTTACAAAGTGCACAAGCAAAATGCGGAAGCCCAAATGGCTTACGCGAGGCTTACATTCGGCATTGGCTGCGGCTCTGCTTGACATGCATCCTACTGTAGCTTTGAGCTTGAGCTTTGGCTTCGTGTCTAGCTCTTTCATCATCGGGAGGGTTCTTGCACTCTCGATGTGTGTGTAGTTGCATAGATGTGGGGCAATGTCTACATATATACATACCCATGTATATATATATATATATATATATATATGCAAAACTGCATTTGCGCTTCGCGCCATGCACCTTGGTCCTTGAAATTTGGTATCAATCCTCCTCAGCTCTTTTTGCGGAGGCCCCTCCTTGGAGAGCCTCTGTGGGCCCCATAACGATTTTTCAAGCTTTTTTGAAGCCTTATGGAAGCCTCCTGGGCGTCTTCTGGGAACTCTGGGGGCTTCCTCGGTCCACCCTGCCTCCAACCGCGATCTCCCTGAACGACCGGCTCTTGGAATGCTTCGGAGGGTGCCTTGGGGCCATCTTGGGCCGTCACGGGGCTCTCTTAGGCCATCTTGGAATCCTGTTGTGCCATCTTGGGGCTCTCTTAGACTGCCTGGAAGCCCTTTCGGATGGTTGTGGGGCGATTCTCAAACCTCCCAGGCGGCTTCGGACGCCCAGAAGACCGCCGTCTTGACGCGTCGGGAAGCCGAAAAGAGAACCCCCAAATCCACCAAAAACAAACAGGAAATTAGTGAATTTTGCCTCTTGGGGACTTCTTGGGAGTGCTCCTGGAGGCCTCTTGGGACGTTTTGGAACGATCCTTGGGGGTATGACGGCTTCTTTGGGGTCGTCGTGGACCGTCTTGGGGCTCTCTGGGGTCGTTTCGGGAGCGCGCTGGAACGCCTCGAGCCCTCTTGGGCCATCTTCGGGCTCTCGTGGGACTCTCCCGGGTCGTCTGGAGGGTTGCACGAGGAGGCCCGGGGTGGGCAAAATTAGTTCGGGGGAGGGAGGGGGTGCGTTTTTTTCCAGGGTCTAGGGTGTGTGTGTGTGTGTGTGTGTTGGTGTGTGTGTGTGCCCTATTTCCGGGATCCCCGGCCCTATGCAATTATAGCATAAGAGTATGTATGACTATAATAGTCTACATATACACACACATGTTTATACATGTGTGTATATAAAATAGCAGTAGTTCTATGGTAGCAAGCGTACTAATACTAGTCGCAATCGGAATCATATTCGTAATAATATAGAAGTAGTAGTCGTAGCCGTAGTCGTAGTAGTAGTCATAGTAATAGTAGTAGTAGTAATAGTAGTAGTAGTAGTAGTAGTAGTAGTAGTAGTAGTAGTAATAGTAGTAGTAGTAGTAGTGGTAGTAGTAGTAGTAGTAGTAGTAGTAGTAGTAGTGGTAGTAGTGGTAGTAGTAGTGATAGTAGTAATAGTAATGATATCGGTAGTAGTAGAAGTAGTACTAGTACTAGTAGTAGTAGTAGTAGTAGTAGTAGTAGTAGAAGAAGTAGTAGTAGTAGTAGTAGTAGTAGTAGTAGTAGTAGTAGTAGTAGTAGTAGTAGTAGTAGTAGTCGTAGCAGTAGTAGTGATAGTAGTATTCGTAGTAGTGGTAGTAGTATCACTAATAGAAGCAATAATAATCGTCCTCGTACTAGTAGGTAGTAGCTGTAGTAGTAGTAGTAGCAGTAGTAGTAGTAGTAGTAGTAGTAGTAGTAGTAGTAGTCGTAGTAATAGTAATCGTAGTAGTCGTAGAAGTAATAGTCCTAATAATAATAGTCGTCGCCGTAGTATTAGTAGTATTATAAGGAGTAGTAGTAGTCGTAGCCGTAGTAGTAGTAGTAGTCGTAGTAGTAGTAGTAAAAGTAGTAGTAGTAGTAGTAGTAGTAGGAGGAGGAGGAGGAGGAATAGTAAAAGTAATAGTAGTAGTAGTAGTAGTAGTAGTAGTAGTAGTAGTAGTAGTGGTCGTCGTACTAGTAGTAGTAGCAGTAGTAGTGGTTTAGTAGAAGTAGTAGTAGTAGTGGTAGTAGTAGTAGTGGTCGTAGAAACTGTTGTCGTAGTAGTAGAGTAGTAGTGGTAGTACTAGTAACGGTAGGGAGAGTAATACTAGTAGTCGCATTAGGAATAGTAGTAGTAGTAGTAGTCGTCGTCGTAGTAGTAGTAGTAGCAGTAGTAGTAGTAGTAGTGCTAGAAGTAGTGGTAGTAGTAGTGGTCGCAGTGGTAGTAGGACACATATTAATAATAGTACAAAAGGTTACACACGTAATTCTACTCGTAGTCGTAGTAGGAGTCGTAGTAGCAGTCGTAGTAGTAGTAGTAGTAGTAGTAGTAGTAGTCGTAGTAGTAGTAGTAGTAGTAGTAGTAGTAGTAGTAGTAGTCGTAGTAGTACAACGCCCATTACGAAGACTACTATTTAGTATAAATTAGTTGTACGGGTGTCAAAGTCTTAGCAGTAATAATCGTCATACAAGTAGTGAAAAATAGTAGTCATAGTACTAGAACTAGAGATAGTAGTAGTGGTAGAAGTAATAATAGTAGTAGTCGTAATACGGGGTGGAAAATTTCGTAGTAGTTGTAATAGTAGTGGTAGTAGTAGTAGTGATATTGATAGTAGTCGTTGAAGTCGTACTCGTGCGAGTAAACGTAGGAGAGGTAGCAGTAATAGTAGTCGTAGTAGTCATAGCGCCCGTGGTCGTCGTCGAGATTGAAGTGAAGACAGTGATAGTAGTGCTAGTACTAGTAATAGCAGTAGTAGTACTAGAAGTGTTAGTAGTAGTAAAAGGAATCGTAGTCGGCGTCGTAGTCGCACCCGTAGTCGTAATAATCGTAGTAAGAATGCAAATTATATTTTTGTAGTAGTAGTCGTAATACTCGTAGTAGTAGTAGTAGTAGTAGTAGTAGTAGTAGTAGTAGCAGTAGTTTTAGTGATAGTAGTGATAGTGGTAGTAGTAGTGGTAGTCGTAGTAGTAGTAGTAGTAGCAGCAGTAGTAGTAGTAGTAGTAATAGTAGCCGCGGTGGCAGTAGTAATAGTAGTACTTGTTGTCGTAGCAGTAGTAGTGGTAGTAGTAATCGTAGTGGTAGTTATAGTAGCACCAATAGGAAGAACACTCGTAATCGTACTGATACAACTAAACGTAATAGTCGTAGTGGCCGTGGCGGTGGTAGACGTAAACTCAAATACTTGCAATAATAATCGCCGTCGTCGTGGTACTAGTAGTAGCAGTGGTAGTAGTAGCCGTAGTATTAGTAGTAGTAGTAGTAGTAGTAGTAGTAGTAGTAGTAAAGATAGTAGTAATAGTAATAGTAATAGTAGTAGTAGTAGTAGAAGTCGTAGGAGTCGTAGTAGTAGTAGTAGTAGTAGTAGTAGTAGTAGTAGTAGTAGTAATAGTAGTAGTAGTAGTAGTAGTATGGTAGTCGTAGTAGTAGTCGCAGTAGTAGTGGTAGTAGTAGTCGTAGCAGTAGTAGTAGTAGTAGTAGTAGTAGTAGTAGTGGTAGTAGTAGTAGTAGTCGTAGTATCAGTAGTGGTAGTAGGAATTAATAGAAGTAGCCGCAGTAGTTACAGTAGTAGTAGTAGTAGTAGTAGTCGTAGTAGTAGTAGTAGTAGTAGTAGTAGCAGTACTCATAGTAGCAATACTGATCGTAATGATGGTAATCGTAGTAGTAATAGTAGTAGTAATAGTAGTAGTAGTAGTAGTAGTAGTAGTAGTAGTAGTAGTCGTAGTAGTAAAAGTAGTAGTAGTGCTCGGAAATATCGTAGGTAGTCGTAGTAGTAGTAGTAGTAGTAGTAGTAGTAGTAGTAGTAAACATAGTAGTAGTACTAGAAGTAGTAGTAGTAGTCGTAGTAGTAGTAGTAGTAGTAGTAGTAGTAGTAGTAGTATTGGTAGTACTCGTAGTAGTGGTAGTAGTAGTAGTAGTAGTAGTAGTAGTAGTGGTAGTAATAGTAGTAGTAGTAGTAGTAGTAGTAGTCGTGGTAGTAGGTAGGTAGGTAGTAGTAGTAGTAGTAGTGGTAGTAGTAGTGGTAGTAGTAGTAGTAGTCGAAATAGTAGTTGTAGTAGTAGTAGTAGTAGTAGTAGTAATACTAATCGTAGTAGTAGTAGTAGTACGTCGCAGTAGTAGCCGTAGTAGTAGTAGTAGTAGTAGTAGTAGTAGTAGTAGTAAGAGTCGTAGTAGTGATGATATTAATCGTAGTGGTAATATGAATACTAGTAGTCGTCGTAGTAGTAGTAGTAGCAATGGCAGTACAAGTAACCGTAGTAGTAGTAGTAGTAGTACGTCGCAGTAGTAGCCGTAGTAGTAGTAGTAGTAGTAGTAATAGTAGTAGTAGTAGTAGTAGTAGTAGTCGTAGTGGCAGTAGTAGTAGTTGTAGTAGTAGTAGTAGTAGTAGCAGTAGTAGTAGTAGTAGTAGTAGTAGTAGTCGTAGTAGTGATAGCAATAGGAAGAACAGTAGTAGTAGTAGTAGTAGTAGTAGTAGTAGCAGTAGTAGTAGTAGTAGTCTTAGTAGTGATAGCAATAGGAAGAACAGTAGTAGTAGTAGTAGTAGTAGTAGTAGTAATAGTATTAGTGGTAGTAGTAGTAGTAGTCGTAGTAGTAGTAGTAGTAGTAGCAGTAGTAGTAGGAGTAAAGTAGAAATAGTAGTAGAAGTCGAAGAAGAAGTAGTAGTAGCAGCACCGGGGAAGTAGTAGTAGTAGCAGCAGTAGTACAGGTAGTAGTAGTAGTAGTAATAATAATAGTCGTAGTGGTAGTAGTAGTAGTAGTAGCAGTAGTAGTAGTAGTAGTAGTAGAAGGAGAAGGAGAAGTAGAAGTAGTAGTATAAGTGGAAGTAGTAGTAGTAGTAGTCGTAGTAGTAGTAGTAGTAGTAGTAGTAGTAGTAGTAGTAGTAGTAGTCGTAGTAGCAGTAGTAGCAGTAGCAGCAGCAGCAGCAGCAGCAGTAGTAGTAGTAGTAGTAGTAGTAGTAGTAGTCGTAGTAGTAGTGTTGCACGGCGCCTTCGCTTCTAC